CTGCCCGGTTCCTGCCAGCGTTCAAAGACTCTATCCCTTCGGCTGGAAATCGATGAATGAGTTTTTGGTCGCGGCGAACGTCTTGTCGCCCACGCGGGGCGGGATACCTGTGCCAAATTGGTACTGGCTTCTATGGCTTGCTTTCTTGAGTCTCTTGCCCCGATTGCTACCACAGTAACCGCGTAGTGTGCATCACCACGATGAGTGCCCAAGCACTAATCTGAGCAAAGGTCCCTCTCATCTTCCCGCTCCTCGCCCGCCTTGGAAGTTACCCCCCTGCTTCCAGAGATGCTTCTCATTCAGGCCATTTTGGTGGCTCCTGAGAGGCTGCGGCCGAATGTCGATCTCACAACTTACAGCATGACACTCTTTAGGCTTGAATGCTTTCACTGGTTGCGGCGTCCTACATGTAACTCATCGCTTCAATTGCGCACGGTCATGTCGTAACTTACTTGAGCTTACAGTTCAATGGCAGGTTGTGGGCGACTCAAGGAGTCCCCACCACCTGACGGCCCGCCACCCTACCCCCCCTAACCCCTCCCTCTAGGGGTAGGAGTAGGACATGTAGGAACTCCGATTTATCCGTACGAAATAACATTTGTAACATCAAACGTGCTATACGTACATCAAAACCGCAACCTGTGCGTACATCAACTGTGCTACGCGTAACATCAAACTGTACTACACCTCGTTGTCCATACGAGGCAGTTCCTTGCGTTCAATCGATACGCAGTTCTCTCCGCATCTTCGAGGTTCTGCGTGCATCCATCCCACCACGCCCGCGGGATCACACGCGTCCTGTTCCTTCCCTGGGTTGGGAAATGGACAGGGGACCCGGCGATCCTCTTTCGTCGTTCCCCTTGATCGGATCATATTGGTCGAGACCTTTCTTGCGCAGCCAATCGCCGGCCTCTGGTCGGCGGTGAGTACGACCGGTTTCTTCCAGAGAATTGACAAGCCAAGCAGGACCGATAAAGCGGGTGCGCTCTCGGCACCCCACTGGTCGAGGCGAGCGGGAAGTTGGACAATCCCCGCCTTCGACTTTGGTTGTATTCTAGCCCACGCCAATCGGAAGTCGGGCAATGGCGGAAAAGTGTCTCGTTGATGCGCATTAGGTGGTGAAGTGCCCATAGCCCGTTTGGGGGCGAGGATGGTTATCCGTGCATCCAATTGATGAGTCCGTATACCATGTAGAATCTGGACACACTTCGGGATGGACGGGCGGACGGCGGGGCAGGCCCCCCCATCGATCCTTCTGCGGATCTAGCGCATCTCTGATCCTCTGAGAGTGATTATGTAGGTCACAGGGCTGTTCCCATACGTACGAGAGCGGACGGCGCAGCCGCCAGCTTGACCAACTCCCCGGTCCGGGATGGGGGGCGCAGCCCCCCCCGCCCCACCCCCCTCGTGGCACCATCGCCCACGGTCAACGCCCAGATCGTAGAGGTCGACAGGTAGGGGTGGGGCTGACGGCAGGTAATGCCGGCCCTCTAACAAAGCCCTCGGCAATGACTTCTGGCCGGCGTGATCCATCATCGCCAACGTGCCTGGATGAGTTAAAGTCTGTTCCGTGCTTGAAGAGCCGGTGCGTTCGTGCATGGCGACGGCGCGGCATTAATCGTATCCCCCCTGAATCCCCTCGGCGTCGTCTGACAGTTCAAATTCACCTACTAGTGGTTTTCCTCCGACTGCCATGCAGCTATGAGGGGGGCGAAGCGGTCTTATAAGAAATCCGGAGAAATAACCGTCTTCCGGCTTCTTCCCATACATGGGTAACACAGTTCCGCAAAGCCTGCCGCTTTCAAACCGCATGTCAGTAACTGCTCTCTACTAAAACCCAGCGCCGTGCAAACTCCTCACGGCGCATCCCACGCCCACGCGGTCGTATGGATGAGATCATCGAGCTGGCGAAAATCAGGTTCTCTATCACAGGCGGGGCAATCGCCCTCATTAGTCGTTAGACTGACCAACTGCGTCCACCAGCACCCTCAACTGTCCATTGGGCGATCCCTTTAGCGAGGTCGATTATTGCCACTGTCGTCCCATCTCGCAATGCCTCCAACCATCGACGGAGTCCCCCAACGCTCAAATTTAATGTCACTGAATAACGATCCCCAATAACTCTGTCACTATGGGTGTATCACCCCACAAACGTATACGTGCAGATGTTTTTAAGCGCGCGGTGGGTAACGAAAGTTGATCAGCTTCCTCCCCACTCTGAGGGCACCAAGATGCACAGTGGTCCTTACTTCACTCGGAATTTCCTAGATTACTCAACGTTATCAGGGTTTTTTCGCAAACAAGTACCTGCGTATCGAGGTGGCGGAATCCACTATGTAGTCGAAGACGTGGGTGTCGCGACGAAGAGGTGCTTGGCTGCCAACGAACATCGATGTCGCTATGCCGGGAGTTCGGCATTGTGTGTTGAGCGTCAGTAACTGATGTCATATAAGTCTGAATGAAGGCGTTTAAACACTTACGCCAAACAACACACCATAAAAAACTCATTTTTCCGCCCAATCTCGACTTAACACGACCCTCGGTCAGCCAATGATGTAAATGGATTGCCACGAGTGTGAGCACCATTTTGTGAAATTCTGCCACACTCATCAGAACACATCAAGCTCATCCCGTAAGAAAGGAGGCTACTATGACCACTCAAGTTACGCTTTCAAAACGATGTAGCGGACTATCTGGAAAGGCAGAGCCATGGCGCGGACAACCCTGCACCAGATAACCGACGATCTACTTCGCCGCGTTATGTCTTCTGAAGCCGCACGGATTGGCGCTTGCCACTAGGACCGATCAGGCGACTCCTTGGGCGCTCCCTGGGGAAGTGCCTTAACAAACGCTCGACCGAACTGTACGTGGACGTAACTCCTTCAATAAGAATCGCCGGTTGACACTCCCAACATCAATCTTCTCGTGTCCGCACGCAATCAGGACGATATCAGGTACAAGCCCGCCCGAAATTGAAGGCTGCCTCCGATGTGAGGCGGGCTTTCTCAGGCTGTACTCTGAAATCAGCCTAGATGAACTCGAAGCCCAGTTCGTTGCGATCGGTCATGGATTACAATTAACACTCCAGTTTCTCGAAGGAATGTCCTGCCTCCCTAGCAGAGAACGAACCTATCGTTATCTTGAGTCGGTCTTGCGCTTGTCTACTGAACAGGCGATACACCTGAAGTTCGCCTCCTCGTGGTCCCTGAATGTGACAAGAGCAGCTCCCTGCTAATACTCTGCTGAAATCCCGCCATGCCGTTGTCTCGCTCGACGTGTCGACGCAGCAAATCGTAGGGTCACTGCACCTGACAGATCCATGGGTGTAGGACGTCACATCTGCGCCAGTGTCGACCAGCAGACGAACTCGGCGAGTAAAGCCAAGACGAGGCAGCGTCACGGCAGCAAAGACGTATGGCCTGCCTTGAGCGCCGAACCAACCGTGAATCACAGCAGTAATGTCCGAGGCGTGGTATCGAGGAAGTCGTGATATACGTCCTTTGGACGAATCCGCTTCTCGCTCAGCAGGTCGAACAGTTCGATCCTGGTGTCGGCCGTGGCAACGACGCCATCCCGGGAGACCGCAATCCACTGGTCCGGGTACTCAGACAGAAGCTCACTTCTCCGGCTCTCTACGCTTATCGCGAGTTCGCGGAAAGAGTCCATTTCGGCAGCAAGTTCTTGAAGGTCGCCGAAGTTCCTGATGACATCCTCTATTGAGTCGCATCTGGGCATCTCGTTCTCTTTCGGCAAAGTACTCATGACGACCTCCCAGCGAAATGCCAAAGGGGCTAACGATTGTGAAAGTCATTATAGACGATGATGCGCCGGCGGTGAGACAGGTGCCCCGAGCCGAATGCAAGGAAATCAGTAGAAAGCTTGCATCCGAACAACTCTTCCCTACCTGAGCCACCCCCCTTAAACCTGACAACCTACCCCCGGTTTGCAATAACCTCTCGGAGAAAAGGTTGCCGCACCGATTTGGTTCGTAGCGGCCTGAGATAGTGCTCAATGCGCGCGCTGGCGAGGCGTTCCCGCATCCGCGGGACGCTTACGACCAACGCGCGCTGCTTCTCTCTATATCATCCTTGCGTCATCTCTGCGCCGTCTCTCCCTGTACAGGAGGTACACGACTATGAGCGTGCCAATCAGCATTGGCACTCCAAGCGCAGCAAGGATTATTCTGCCGAATCCCCCGGAACCTCCATCACCGGCAGACGCCTGCATCATCGGTGCGGACGGCTCATTGCCCGCCGGAACCGCAGTCGGTGTCGGTGTCGGCGCCATCGCGGGAGCGACTGTTGTCTTCCCGTTTGGCATCGGCACGGCCGTGGGCACGGAAGTCGGCACCGGCGTCGGCGGCTGAGCCGGCAGTGATATGCGCTGCACTGCAACTGCAGGCGCCGAAGCGGGTATGGCGGTCGCCGTCGCCGCGACTGCTGCCGCAACAGGCGTAGGTGTCGGAGATACAGGAGCATCATCGATTACCAGCGCGAATGCCCCAAGCCGCTCCACCTGTGCTACTACCCATACCTTGTCCGATTCGTCCGTCTCACAGCGATGCTCAACGAGACTCCATGTTTCTGCTTCTACGGAATACACCCTTGTCTTACCTTCATCGCAGGCTGCGGCGTCTTCTTGTGGAAGTTGCACCCACAGCTCCACGTAAGGTGCATAGGCAACATCCTCAGGCGTGTCCCCACCAGGCTCATAGGTGTTCGACTCTATCGCTACGACCACCCGCTCCTGCTCTCCCGGAGGCTGTCCGTGCGCCTGCAAGTTGACCTTCATCAGCTCGATGTCCACATCCTTAGGCGGCGCCAGCGGCTGCACGATGAGCTTCACTGTGCCGTCGGGCAATATAACTACCTCACCCTCGTCGCGCGACACAAACTGCCGGATATAGTCCGGAGGCAGCACATCCAGTAATACGATGACCTGTCCGGGAGACTTGCCGGAGGAAGTCACGTCTATATTGATGACGTCCACATACTGCCCGGAAGCCAGTTCTGACGAGTCAACTGAGGCGGTAATGGCCACAAGATCTTCCGGGCCGTTGGACACGCCCGACATCGGCTGTTGTGAGAGCCATTCTTCGTGGTTTGACAGATTGAATCTCATAGATCCCTGGCGCCCTGTTCCAGACCGAGAAAGTCTGCGGCGATGGGTTGTCTCCACCCTCTATCGCAACGAATCTGAGCATCTGTGGCGAGACTCCCAGCAGCGGCACGTTCGTGGTCCGTGCTGTACTTATGACGATGTCAGAATCGACGGCATCGTCATCATCGCGCTTCTTAGTAGTGAAGGTAACGGATCTGGTTCCTCCATCCGGGAATGAATTGTCCAGAGACGCCTCAGCGACATACTCGGTCCCCGAAGTCAGGCCCCTCAGCCTCATGCTCGCGATATCGTCCACTGACTCCACCTGCTGGGTGGGTCTCCACGCGATGTAGCCTGCAGCGCGGTGGCGAACATATACCGTCTGCACCACACCGTGCGAGTCCGAAATCGTCGCGCTGACGGCTGCACCGTTTCTGCCGATATTCTCCGCTTCGAATGACGCTATGCTGGGCCAGCGTAGTGTTGTGAAAGTGGCCGACTTAGTACGTGTTGTGGGGAACGAGCTGTCCAGGGACGCCTGCACATCGTACTCGGTGCCGGGAGTGAGTCCGGACAGGTCGATGCTGGCGTTGTCGGTAGTGCTTGTAGCGGTCTTGATTCCACTCCAGTTGCCTCTTGGCGTAGTAGTGCGATAGCGCAGGCTGACGGTCTGAGTGCTGCCGTTCGTGTTCGCAATGTCGATCGCTGCCGTAGCGGTGGTCTGCCTGATGCTGTTCACGCTGACCTTCGATACCACCGGGTCAGGAGGAAGTGTCCTGAAGGTGTCTGTTTCCGACACTGTGAAGTCGGATGTCAGAGATACTTCCACCTCGTACTCTGTGTCGGTGATCAGGCCTGTCAGGTTGACGGACGCCTCTGCGGTAGTGCTCGTCGTCGTGAGAGCGCCGCTCCAATCTCCCTGCGGAGTGGTAGTGCGGTAGCGCAGATGTACCGTCTGCCTGCTGCCGTCAGGGTCCGCTATATCGATCTTCGAAGTGGCCGTGGTCTTGGTGATGTCAGTGACGTCAACGTCGGAGATGCTGGGATAGCGCAGCGTGGTAAATGTGGCCGACACGGTATCGCCGAACTCGCTGTCCAGCGATACCTGCACCTCGTACTCGGTGTCCGCCGTCAGACCGGATATGCTGACTCTGGCTCTGCCAACCACGATTGTACTGATCTCCCCGTTACTCTCTTCTTTCTCAATGGTAACCGTGTTGCTGTTCGCGGTCTGTGTTTCGCTCCATTCTCCCTGCGGCGTGGTGCGATAGTGCAAGTAGACCGTATGAGTAGTATCTCCTGGGTCTGCTATTTCAATCGCTGCGGTGGCTGTCGTTTGCTTGATATCCCTCATGATTACGTTCGACAGTCTGGGGTCCGGCGACAAGGTGGTAAATGTTGCCGTCGCTGAGTCCGTGAAGTCGCTGCTGAGCGCTGCCTCCACTTCGTACTTCGTCTGTGGACTCAGACCCGTAAGATCAAACGCCGCGCTCTCGTCGGTGGTTGTCTTCGTCCGGGCCGTGTCCCACTCCGTCTCGCCAAACCTACGGTGGCGGAGGGACACCGTCTTCTGCGCCGTGCCCGCGTCCGCGATGTTTACGGTAGCCACAGCAGACGTTTGCGTGATTCCGCTTATACTCACACCCGACAGGCTCGGTCCCCACCAGCGTGGTGCATGCTTCAATAAACATGCCGCTGAAGTCTTCCGACAGCGCAACGACCACCTCGTATGTAGTTCCCTCCGTGAGTCCGGTTAGTGGAATGGACGTGTCATCATCATAGGTGATCGTCGGGAACGGAAGCATAGTCCACTCATCTTCGCCCTGGATACTGTGCTTCAGAAATACCTCTTTCATCCCTGTGCCGGCATCTGCGATTACCACGATTGCAGTCGCAGAAGTCTGTCCTATGTTCTCGCACTGGAGGCTTGCGATGGCGGGCTCTGCCACAAATACCTCGTCAAGCGTAGTGAATTCGTAAATCTGAGTGCCGGGAGGCGGCGTGCCACTATTCAGCCACACCTGCACTTCGTAGGTTGTCCCTGCAGTCAGGCCGGTCAGCGCTATGGTCGTGCCCGAGCTCTTGGTCGTGCTGGACTTAGGCGGCGTGCTCCAGGCCGTGGTGCCGTCTGCGCGGTAGTGCAGGCGCACGGTCTTCTGCGCCGTGCCGGCATTCTTTATGCTCACATTGGTGACTGCGGAGGTTTGCATTATGTTGATGAAAGTCACCGATGACACCTCCGGTGACCTCTGCGGCGGTGGTGGAGACGTCGTCGTGAACGACCTTGTAGTCGCGTCACTCATGTCGCTGTTAAGAGACACCCTAACATGGTATCCCGTGCCTGCCGTCAGACTGCTGAGGATGAAAGTCGCGCTGCCATTCGTGTGAGTTGTGTTCTGTGGTGAGGTTGTCGGCCACTGAGCCGACGAGAGCTTGTACTTCAGGTACACTCTCTGTTCTGCGTTCGCGTTAGCAAGCCCTACGACGACCCTCGCGCTTGTCTGCGCGATATTGAGCACTCTGACGGAAGATATGCTCGGCGGCGTTACGGCAGCAGCCTGAATAGTCATGAATGTCGCGGTCACCTTGTTGTCGGTGGCGCTTCCCAGCCACGCCTCGACTTCGTAAGTCGTGCCAGCCGTGAGACTTGATAGTGGGAATTCCACGGTGCTGCCAGTTTCAGTTTTCGTGTGATTCCGTCCAGCTGTCCTCGCCGTCAACGCTGTAACGCAGGTTCACGGTATTCTGCGCGTCACCAGGATTCGCCATGTTGACCGTGGCGGTCGCGGATGTCTTCGTAATGCCGCCAACACTTATTGAAGATATGCTTGGAGCCATTGAAGTGGTGAATGTCGCGGTCACCTTGTTGTCGGTGTCGCTTCCCAGCCACGCCTCGACTTCGTAAGTCGTGCCAGCCGTGAGACTTGATAGTGGGAATTCCACGGTGCTGCCAGTTTCAGTTTTCGTGTGATCCGTCCAGCTGTCCTCGCCGTCAACGCTGTAACGCAGGTTCACGGTATTCTGCGCCGTGCCTGCGTTGTCAATTTTAACGGTGGTGTCGGCAGTGGTCTGTGTTTCGTTAGTGACGCTGACTGATGCTACCTCAGGCGACTTGGTCACCGGAGGCGTGGGATTGACCGGCGACCTCTGCGGTGGCGGCGGCGGTGGTGGATTGTTATTCTGCGGTGGTGGTGGTGGGTTCGGTGTTGCGACAGGCGTGCCGGTTCCCTGCGCCCAGTTATACACATTCGCCTCCACGGAGTTATCAGCCCTCACGCGGACGGAGTAGAGCGTGCCGTTGGTTAGATCTCCGATGACTTGTGACGTGACGATTGGCGTGGCCTGACGTGATGTGTCGTATTCTTGGATGCCGGACTTCCACTGCACGATGTACTGGTTGATGTCCAGTCCGCCCTTGTCACTTGGCGCGGCCCAGGACAACGCAAGCTGCCCGTTGCCTGGCGTCACCCTGAGGCTCCTCGGCGCGCTTGGTATCTTTCTGGGCTTGCCGGTCGTGTACGCCCACTGGAATGTTTGCCCTGCCACGTCATTGTCGGCTCTGACGCGGATGTCATAGTCAGTGCCGTTGAGCAGTCCCGTGATAGTATCGGTCAGCACGGTCTCGTCTGTCGTCG